GGGCTCCAGAGAGGGGCAAAAATCTGAAATGGAGATTTCAGCTTAGAGCATCCTCCTGTGCACGCTGCGGGCAGGAGGCCAGGGGGGCACATCCCTGGCACAGCATCCTTACAGAGGGTTTTCCTTCTCCTTTGGGACTTTAGGGGTCTCCGGGACAAGCCGGTCCACAAGGGTGGAAAGGTCGCAAAGGAGAAAAGGTACATCTGAATCCTTCCTCTGTGGGTGGCACCTGAGGGGAACTGGCTACCGGGCATGGGGTGGCCAAGTCCCGTTATGGTCCATGGAGAGAAACCAGAGGGAATTGCCCCGGGGGGACCTGTTTCTCCCTGCTGTAAAGACAACCGTGCATCAGTGCCTGGCAAACACAGAGCCCTTAGGTGCCCTGGGGCTGCCCTGGCTGGGATTTGGGTGAGGGGCTGACAGATCTCCCCAGCTTAGCCCCACAGGGCCGCCTCCACCCTGGCTCAGGTGCCCCTGAGATGGGAGAGGGCACCTCCCCTTCACTGGCCAGCTCTGCACCGTGGCCTTGGTGTCTGTGCCCAGGGTGCCACAGCACCCGGTGAGCTCTGTCCCCGTCTCCGTGCAGGCAGCAGCCCCTTTTCCCCAGTCCTGGTCCAGGATGGGGCCGGGCTGCTGGTGACCCACATCCGCCATCTCTTCTTCCCCAGGGCAATGTGGGGCGTGAAGGGGAAGAAGGGGTCCCCGGAGAAGCTGGCAGACGGGTAAATGACACCGTTGTCCCTGTGGAGGGTGACAAGAGGTGGGAGGCTGATGAGTGGAGCATGCAGAGGTCTTGCTGGGGGCTGGGGGGCAGCGAGGGGGATGTGGGGCAGATGGCTCAGTGCCTTTAACAGACATGAACTGCTCGTGGTGAGTCTTTCATCTGTTGTTCCCAGGGCAAGCGAGGCAAGGTGGGCCACCGGCCACCGAGAGGTCCCCGAGGACCCAAGGTAGGTTGGCTTTGCCTCGCCGGGGCAGGGGCAGCTTTGGAACCCTGGCAGCTCGGGGTTGCTCTCACCTGCCCACGTTCCTGGCTTATGGAAAAGGATAGGTCAACACAAGGGTATTGTGTAGCTGGAGGGCTCTGTGTCTCCAGTCCCTTCCAGCCCATGGCGGGGGGGGGATTT